GATTCACATACCAATCGAATGCACAAAATTACCATTAGCCTACAACATAAATAAATTCAAAAGGCATTTTCTTTTACTCTTAAATTATACTTCAATATTTGGTGAAAAAAGGACATTTTGAATCTTTATTATTTTAATTGAAATGAATTAATTGCAATGAATAAATACGTTTTATTGACGACACCATCAATTGTTTGGTCTTCCACTACAATTATGATGGAGTGTTGGTAGGGCTCCATTTGAGGAGAGAAATAGGTAGAGCAAAGAAGAATCGGTTGGTTAATTGTTACTTGCCAACTATCGATAGCGATCATCGAGTTGAGCTTAAATGTCGATTTGGTGACATTTAGAGGAAAATTTAAGCCTAAGTAACCTTGTTGAGGATTAAGTCGTTCTATCTATTCAAAAGTGACAAAGCCTTATCTGCGTCCTTTAGATTGTATATTTGATCTAATTTTTTTCCATTAAGTAAATAATCATCTACTTTTCTATACATTTAAAACAGCTCAAATTTAATTAATCTCAAATCAATCATTGCACATTCCGAATTAGGTTTAAATTGATGGGAGAAATAAGAATTTCAAACTTCATATAAAACTTGGCTTTGCTTAAGCTAACTAAAAAGAGAAATTTGTGACATTATCCTTTTTGTGGGGAGTATATGTGTGAATATTTTACAGAATAAGAATATGAGTGCTCAGAATTTTTATTAATTTTAGAAAAAGATATTTATGATTTGAAGGTGTACACATATCAAAATCTGATGAGAGGTCAATGTCACTCAATTAAAATGCATTACAATTTTTTATTAATTAGAAGACATGCTATCAATTAAGAGCCATTTCTCCCACCTTCTCCCCACTGTTTGTGAATCAAGAAAATTGCATCATTTAATATTTCATGAATCAATAAGAGCTATTGGCTTGTTTGCAATTAGACTTGAAGCTTCACTACTTGAGTGACAACATGAATTCGATCGAAACTAAGTGTTTAGGTCTCTTGACCATAATTATTCAAAACATTAAAATAAAAAGAAATGCCGTTTGAGTTGATTTGTATTGCTGGCTATTAATGCTATGTACAACTCGTTTATATGGAAAAAGCCGAAATATATATGACCTCTCAATAATCATTTTATTCACAATGCTTGCATATGGTAAAAAATAAAGCTGACTTCTTTGTTTCAAGAAAAGGCATTGACTAGCATTCAATTGCGCCTTAAATTCACAACTCATGTGCTAATGATTATACATTTACGTGAAGCTTGAAAGGCCATCGTGAGAAATTAAGCGACACATTTTTATTAGAGCAAGATGATTTACTCATTTTCATTTCCTGCATCGATTTGTATTTAAAACAGCACGAATTCAAATAGACTCCATTCTTTCATTGGACGCAAAGGTGTCGATTGAGATTACTGTGAGAAATTAGAATCGAATGCTGCATATAAAGAGTGGTGTTGCAGAGTCTAATCATGTATGGTGAATTGGTGGTCTTTAAATTCATTATTTCACATTGAACTAGGCACTTGAAGATTTCTAAAAAAAGTAAAATTTAGTCTCAATACCCCCTTCCACTTTCTCTCTTTACTTGTTATGATAGGCGACTAGTTGATTTGAAAGAAATGTGTGGTTTTTTGGCCTGAAATGACTATGAGTGCTCGATTTATTTATTTATAAATAATAATGAATCAATTGAATATATTCGGAGGCAGTTTTATAATTATAAGATATATGTGTTAGATAGAAGCCACATCTTCGCATTTTTTAGCCAGCAAAGTATCAGATTAAAATAGCCTTTGAAGTGTGCAGCGGTTTGCAACACTAGTAGAGCCTTGACTGACTCTGAAATCTCCCAGAACTAGCTAAGCTGCAGCCTAGCTATAGAGGAAACAGACGTATCGCATGGAGCACGTTTATTCAGGTAGTATGATGCGGTGGAATAATGTGTTTTCGTCGGAATTTTTAGTCATAACCGAAATGGCGGAGTAGCTTGGACAAACGAAAATTCTGATTAGACTTTGGTTGTGCGTGGAAGTGATAACGCGTTAGTTGATGACGTGTCCACACGTGATGTCAACTTTTTTGGAAAGGAATTATTGTTTTTTTAACTTTTGTACTTATGTCTAATATTTACATCACTTTAGATGTATCATTAAAATAATTTACTTAAATTTCTTTTTAACTTTAACTTATTATTATATTATTAATATTTTTGTCTATTGTTATTATATTACTGTGGATTTACTAGGAGCGTTGAGAAATGAATTCATGGTCAACAAGTGGAAAGCCATGAACTAGCAAAACGACTCTTGCCTTCAAACACCCCTGGATCTTAACATTCTTCAGGAAAATGTCTACTTACGTTACTCTTTATTCAAATGATGTTGAGTTAAGTTCTAGATAACATAGTAGAGGATTTCGAATATTCCAATACATTGCACGCAAGTTATTGAAATCAGTTGCTCATCAGCAATTATGCTGATGGTCGAGTTCACATGTTTAGGCAGAAATAGATTTAAAGATTATTATTATTATTTCAAATTTCAGGCTTTATGAAATTTATTATTATCCCTTTGGTTGTCTTCAGCTTTCCCCACAGTGGAACATATATAGCAGTACATTAATAGCAGCTCATTAGTTGTCTTCTTGCATCCCAGTATCTCTGGGTTTCCGTCGTTGTCTTTAGAGCTGAACACTGAATCAGGTGGGTCTTCTTGATTTTCTCTTGTAGGTTACATAGGGTGCATGTTGGTTGAGTGCATACTCCCAATCTGTGAAGGTGCTTTGCCAGACAATCGTGCTGGTAGGTAGTCTAAACTCAGCAACGGTTTCGATTCTTGGCCAGTCGGTTAAGTCAGTGAGTGTCACTGTCCACTGCTTCTCCTTTGTTCAAGCTTTAAGTTCGTTGCACCTTGAGGCTGTCCGATACGTAGTCTAAACTCAGCAACGGCTTCGATTCTCGCCAGCCGGGTATGTCGGAGAGTGCCACTGTCCACTATTTCTCCTAGCTATATCGAAGAGTGCCACTGTCCACTGTTTCTGATTCTTGGCCCAGCCGGGTATGTCGGAGAGTGCCACTGTCCACTATTTCTCCTCTATTCGGAGAGTGCCACTGTTTAAGTTCGTTGCACCTTGAGATCTTGAATTCTCTTCTGATCGGGAGAGTGCCACTGTCCACTGTTTCCCCTTTGTTCTCATTTCCGAGCTTTAAGTTCGTTGTACCTTGAGGTCTTGAATTCTCTCTGATCAAGGCCTTCATTGTGTGGAAAGACATCGGCCGGTTCTCTCCTGATTACGGTCTTCATTGTGTGGAAAGACATCTGCCTGTCTATGCCATGTAAAATTGTTAATCCATTCTTAGCAAGTGCGTTAGCAAGCTCATTGCCTTTGATGCCACGATGACCAGGAATCCATTGTAGGACCACTGTTTTGTTTTCTCTCTCAGCAGTTGGCAGATTAAAGAAAATATTAAGGTTACTTTTTGCTCTACAGGATGGAAGAGGGGAAGGGGGGAATCAAGGAAGGAATACAATGACTCTAAAAGTTTAGAGGAGGAACAAAAGTATGTTTCACAGGTGTTTAAGAGGGACAGACACAAAGTTAGAGAATAATGTAAGGTAAGTTGAGAATTGCGGAGTTGATCGAATATGGCATGTATTCTTATCAAGGGAGTTTTAAGTCACAAGTCAATTGTTTTTTTAGCCTTTTTGCCGTATAGGTATACGCTGGTGAACTTCAATATTTAACAGAATTTCATTGGTATATAGTTACCCATTAAACCCACAGTCAAAAATCGTGTTTGATTCTATGGCGAACTGGACTCCCATAAGTAAACATATACCAATGTCGTTAAGAAATAAAGTACTATAAAGGCTTGCTCTTGTTATCCATTTCTGCATCAGCATGTGCAATCATTCATAAGTCGGCTTCCTCCCAGGCAAGTTTCAAATGATATATGTCAGCAACTAGACACAACCCTGAACAATTACGCACCCATATATATTGTGAGAGCACTTTTCCTACACCCTCTAAATCAACCTTCTCGTCAAGTAGCATCAAGCAAGCATAGAAGGAGTGTATAGAACACCACGAGTTATAATTGCACCAGCCAATGCGAGGCTTCGTGTTAAAGCAACTTTGCCTAAGTTGATGACTCAACGCTTTTACCTCTGCATTAATTAATGCGTACCCATTTCCTTTCATCTCCATTCAACTGCCGTTCTAATAATGAATAATGCCTAAACCAAGATCCAAACAAACAACTATAAGGGAAACAATCAACATGGCATCACTAAATATAAACAACTTTGCAATCAAAATCTACACGAAGGCACGTCATCTCAAGGTAATGAAATATCAACCATAAAAAAACTTATTACCCCAGGGATTCGATATAACGCAACTCGGGTTCTAACTAAATCAGCACTTTCACCCTTTCCTCATCTTCGCAAATGTTACTTTGAAGGGTATGCAGCCCTCGTCCAAATCAAGACTTCGACTGGAACAATGCCAGCCCAAGGAACTAAACCTACTAATATAGCCTTGCAAACACGAAAAAATTGCTTATAAAAGAAGTTTTAGCAGACGCATAGTTTTGAAAATATCAAAAGAGTAATGTGAAAAAGTTATTTCCATTTTCCGATTCTTCTAGGTGTTGGAGTAAACGCTGCCTTTACCCTGTATTCACCTACAACAAAGAAGTGTTTCCAATTAAATCCGACACACATGGTACTACTAATTTCGATCTCAGTAGCTATACACACCTTCATCTTCCCTCGGAGATTGCTTGCAAGGTGTTCGACATTCAGTAGAACTAGGCTTTCAAATCCAAGTAAAAGAGGCCATATTATTAAAAAGGATTTCAAGCCATAGGAAATTAGCAAAAAAGTAATACCTCACTATGGCCCGTCTCCGTTTCCCTCTGAGTTGAACTCATTTCGCCACTCAAAACAAGTGAATCTAGTTCCTAAATTCATAGACCTCAAACAGTTAATAATATCAACTAACCGATAATTTGTCATTACTTTTATTCAATTCCTCATCGCAATGTGCCGATCTTAGTCTACATGCTTCAAGCTTCTCCTCAAGCTCAGGTCCCATTTGCGATCCACTACTGGCCATCGACGGGTTATCTAAAATATTCCATTATCGATTAGGATATGACATACCATTCTGTGTCTGCATGAGAGTTTTTATTTCCTTCCAGAGGCGTCTTGATAGCCGATGCACCCGGCATGTCAGGCGATTTCGAACCATGCTGAAGGGCATCTCCAGTAAGAGGTGGCGCACATTCGCCGATTTTCGCCTACGCGAAGGGCCCTCTCTCAGATTATCTGAAGGCGAACAATGGGAAACCCTTAAAATTAAACTTAATTAAATTGGCAACCTCCTAATCTGTCTACATTTGTCCTCTGGAAAACCAATAGGGTGGGTGCGGCGTGGGGTTGAGAATCATTCCCACGACAAGTATTTGAAAAAAAAACACCTGAAGTGAGATTAAACTCCACCCAATACCATTGAACAGAAAAGCAAATTGGTAATTCTGAACATATCTATAGGAAAGTAGCCGGAACCAACGCAACTGGAACACATCAGAATTTCCCACGAAACACCTCTTTCCTATGGTGGTACATAAGTAATAACCCTAGTGCATTAAATAATCAATTCGTTATAACCTATTAGAGGTGAGCAGAGCAAAGCAGGTTTTACTAACTTTCACACTTCAATACAGTACAGAAATAGAAGGCAAGTAGAGTCGAACCATTTTCAAAGTCAAGTGCCATAAAAATAACGTGTAAACCTGCCTTCATATGTTGACTCATCAGAACTGCTTGAATTTGCACATTCAGTTGATCCATCCAAAGATGTCTCCTCCGGCTCCAAATCTTGAAATCCATCATTGTCGCCTTCGCCGCCAATCACCCCCAGACGTCTGTCATGCAGATATTGAGAAAAACGAAGCATCCGAGAAGAAAGAACAGAAATTAGGTCTCTAAGCTCACGGTTCTCATGGAAGAGTTCATTTTCTCGAGCTAACAGGTGATCCACCGTACATCGTGCCAGATCTAGCTGCAAAAGAAATCGCAAGTTTACTACTTCACAATAGCATAATGGATGAGACGCTTCATAGAGCACCTGCGGAAACTGCTTTCAGTTAACTCCTCAGACCAAAATAACCACCCCTACACTTAACAGACACCGCAAATTTAGGCACTTTAATTGCCACCAATAGTTCCCATCAATTTACCAAAAAGGAACAGCGACACAAAACTTGTGAAGCATACAAGAGCGAGCTCTCTTCAGCACAACCCGAGGTCGGCACACTCAGTACTAATGCGTTTCATTCCCTTCCAGTTTCCAACATCATCATCTACCCACTTCTTCCTCCCGCTATTCCACTACGTCTGTACAGCACATTTCCAACTTACCTGCTTGACTACTAAATTCGGAAGGATTTGCAATCTTCTCAAGCTTAACAATAATATCAATCATTTCAAAGCCGATTTCTTAGTCCAACTCCAAAGGAACCTTGAAGTAACTTTAACACCGGCATGAGAATTACTTCAACCAATCAGCATCATTACAAATAATCCTCTATGTTTACTGAACCAAACAAGTTCAGAAATTACCTCACTCTTAGTATTTTCAGTACAAGGTTGAGAAGGAATGGGAGGTCTGCGAGTAGAAGCCATAGGTTTTTTCAAATGATTGATAAATCTTGCCCTCATTGTGCCGTTCTCCTTCTGCAACTTAAGAATTTCGTGCTGAAACTGAGTGTTGCGAATTTGAAAATCCGATTCAAGTCGACGAATCTAAGAAAACAACAATGATTATGTTATTGAATAAACCTACAGAATCCTTAAGCTTGCGAATTTGGTTAGAGAGATCTGTTTTCTCTGCTTCACTTCGACGCTCACGTTCTTTAGATTGGCTTAGCGAACACTGAACAGAATGCAGCTCTTCCTTACACCGTTCATGCATGGTATGTGAATACTCCAGCTCTGCTTTTATACGAGAAATGCTAAAAAATATCCCCAAGGTCACAATGAACTAACGCTTCATCTAAACCTCCTCTAGAATTAAGACTCTGAATATGGCGCTCAAATAACTTAGAGAAGGCAGAAGTTAAGGCATTGAGATCAATAGTCGGGACAAACGAATCGGATTTCCGAAAAAATGGTTTCAATCCAAGTATTGCGAGATCCTAAAGAACTTGGACTATAAAAATGCGATATCTACTTCATTAAGTGCCTGCAATTTAGTGCAGAGGTTGTTATTCCACTGAACATCAAGCTTTGCTGATACTGAAGAATCATTATCCAAATTACATAAGTCGAAAGAACGATGGCGTTTACAGCACTCGGGCTGAATAGAGTTTTCCATTCTGCTAAAATAAATCGAAAGCACTGTGATAAGGAACGCTGAAAACAAAAATTACCGTCTATATAACAAAAAAATTATTTATATATCTAAATATTCAATACTTCCATTGAGCAAATTGAGAAAATAAACTAAATAGTTACAAATAGACAAATTAGAGATCCGTACATCGCGCTGAGAACTCAGAATTGTAAATTTGGGCATTATAAACAAATTCCACCTTTGATATTTATTGGAAAGAAAATAGAACACACTTTAATTAAAATAATTTGAGTATTATATGCATCATTTGGTTTTTTGGCTTAAAGAAAATGGTCTAATTTAACTTCTTAAGCCCAAATTTAAAAACTTCCCCCCCCCTGTGTTAACTCAATGGCATTTAATACAAGAAGAGGGCACAGTATGGTGAAAAGTTCCCTTTATTCCTATCCAAAGAAAAAATATAACGTAGCAAATGTAAATTTGTCAAACTAAATGCTGGCAAAATAAAGATTTTTTTCATACATCGTGATTATGTAAAACATCATTGGTTTAAAATCGAAAAAAACAATGATTGTGAGCGTTTCTTGTTTCTATAACATATTTTCACTTTAATTAGAGATTTAAAAACAGTCATTGCACTAGTGGTAGTTTATAATAAAATCGAAATCGTATTAACTTTATAATGAAGAAATTCATGTGCGAACTAGCATAATTTCGGCCTTAATTCAGGCTATTAAAAACAAGATTTTCTCAGTTTGGCTGCTTTTGAATCGCTTTATTCTTGCAATTTAATAAATATATATATTGATATAGTATTTAGCATATGTAAATTTTCCTTACTTGATTAGAATAAATTAGTTGAATTTCGCATTAGTTACGGCCTAGAGCAATAATTTTTTGGACCACTGGGAAGAGGAAAACAGAAAATTTGTTGCATTGAATAAGAAAGTCCTTCATGAATTTTGATTTTCTTTCAAGGATTGTTCAATCCATAATTTTATAAGTTCGTTGCAATTAAGTAAATATCTCTACAAATTGAGATATTACTCATTTACTGCAATATGACAATAATAAAAATATAACTTTTGCCGTATAGCCATTTTTAACGGATTTTCTTCCATTGCATATATAATATCAATGAACATTTCTTGTGGAATCATTGTTGTATCGATTGCATTTGAGTAAATATTCCTTCGATTTTCCAAAAGTCCTACTTTAATTTTTCTTAAAGTTTCGTAATTGCCTTAGTCAGATTCCTCTTTTTGAAGTTAACCCAAAGATTGCTTTCACGGATTCTTTTAAAAATACTACTATTGGCCGATTTTTGCTCTTCCCAAAAGTTGAATAGCCTTGATATTTTCCAAAGCAGAAATTTTACTGTGTTCATCATACTTATTATTCAGCTCTCCACTGAACAGAAAAGAACTATATCACATTCAAGAATTATTTGATTTGAGAAACTAAATCACTGTTAACTTGCTATATGGCAATACAATGTAACTTAAATGTATGACAAAATATAGGGTATCCATTCAATTATAAAATAAACTAAATACACATTTAAATTGCCATATATGTTGGAATAAATTTTGACAATACATGAGTTTTTCATGAACAAACTAAATTGCTTTTAAAATTAAGCATTTTTTCAAATCGAAATTCTTAAAATTTTACCTTAGAATTTAAAACTACTTTTCTATTAATTTAAAACTAAAAATGTAAAATGTCAACATAAAGTTTATTTTAGCATTTTTATATTATTGTGTAATCAACAATAATGCTGTTCTTGTCAAAACTTAGGTCAGTTGAAAAATTCTCCGAAGTTCATTCAATGACGTGTTTTTTCTTTGATTGGATGAGGTGTTAATGCTTTAATGCTAAAATATCATCTTTCATTTATGATTCAAGTATAGAACTCAAGACATACATCGATTATTTTTATATTTATTCAATTATTCGTTTCCAATATGCATTCTAATAGCATTAAGGCAGCATACAAAATTATTAGTAACCAGTGACGCCTATTCAAAGTGTGTACATTTGGTCATTGGTTCCAGGTATAAGTGAAATTTCACTTTGTTTGGCTACCCAAGGGTCAATTTTGAAGCAATGTACAAGGGGTTCTGTGTTGAATTACTCAATTGTCACTTCCAAAACAATTCCTGTGACAATAATAAATTGTGAGGTCAATATAGGCAAATCAGTTAATCAGGATCTTTGTTTCATTTTCTTCTTAGACGGCATATTTGGGATATAGGATATTTTGAATAATTCGAGCTGGATTGGGTGTTCGGTCCAGCGATGCGATGAACATTTCTCGAAACTTCTTCAGCCTGCCTATTTGTACGTATGCCAGCATCAACCACTGTAGGTTTTACTCAATAACCCAATACTAGGTGCCAGATAATTCTATGACATGCTAAAAATTTAAGCTTTTCATTTTGGTAGAAACCGAACAGTTAAGAAAAACAGGACAAAATATTGCGCTACCAGATATTTGAATCATGGACATTTACATATTATCTTACAAATGTACAAACAATTTGCCTTCTCTTTAATAGTATTTCTCATTGGTGATAAGCTGCAAGTGATGGGTGTTAATTTATTTGTAAATGGAAGTATCACTTCTTCTTTTCTGAGCTTTTATTAGCTGAAATGTAGGCCGTTGTCCGAGTAAATTAGCTAGAAATATTGATATTATATCCTGGCTTGACTACTATTATTATTTTAATTGAAATTTTTTGCCTATTGGGCCGTTTGTTTCCAACGATTTATAATTTAATATTTTCTTCCGTAGATTATTAATGTCTGCTGCTTATTGACCGAGAAAATTGAATTGGGTGAGGTTAGCCTTTGCGGTTCATTCCGTTTTATGACAAGCTAGTCTTAGCTGCAGTTCATCAACCCGTCATTCGAAAGTGATAAATGTATGTCAGGCAAAAACGTTTCTCCACGGAATTTCATAAGTCGTCAATGAGTCCAATCTGGTCAAGGAAAATGCTAATCTGCGGATTCATCAAGCACTTCAAATTACAACACAGAAATTCAAAGTTGAATGGTAAAATTGTACGCATTAGAAGCTCTGTATGTGTTGTGAGATTAAATGATGGTAAACAATAACTTGTGGAGATCAACAAACCAAAGCGCTTTTTATTCACTATATATAATAGTTACTCGTATAAACAAAGTGTACTGGATAAGATGAGATTGTAACATAAATTCAGGCGTTTTAATGAAATAACGATTATAATGGTGATAAATGGCATTTTAACTGAGACTATATGATTGGTTCCGTTCTTTGTTGGCCTCATAAACTACAAGCATGAAGTTAATTACTATCACTTAATTTTGACTAATTTGATGTAGTCAGTTTTTTCATCTAATATAGATTGAAGTACCATCTGGATTAGAAAATTTAATCCTACTAATATTTATTTAGTAGAAATAAAAATTAATTTTGTTTAATTTAGGTAATGTATCTAGTACTTCTAAAGGAAACTGAGAATTAATTAAAGTGAAGTAGGGGGTTCGCGATGGAATCAGTCAATTTACTTTTAATTCCTTTTATTTCTGTGAATTAGACACCAAAAGATTACTTAAAAACTGCAATTTAGGGGAATTTCTCTTTTCTTTTACTTATCACTTCAATGCTTGTAAACCATTGGATGGGCTGAACGTATTTGAAAGTTCGAGTATTGACGTTTCCTTATATTATAGAATATTTTATGTTGGAACGTTTAAATAGTCTTACTATTTATCCAATTATGAAGAAAAATTTATCAGTCGAAAGTGTACACAAGCATAAATTGATAAAAGAGAAATATCACAATTCTATAATAGTGCTCACAATAAAGCACTTCTTACATTTTATCCAATAACATATCAAATTAAAATTAATTACGGGTTTGAAAAATAATTTAACTTGGATTATATAGAAGGTAATATACAGTAATTCGGTCTAAAATTGCAATAAAATCGCGTAGATTTTATCCTGGACAAAAATTTGAACTTTGCATAGGCTTGGTTGATAACCTTCACATGATTCAGTATTTAAAGCATAGATTTAACTTATAAGTAATTGCACTTCTTGGTTCGAATTCTCTTAGCTTTATTCATCTTAGCTTTTAACACTAAAATTGACTTGGCATCATATCGAATATGTGAATTTGAGTTCCTTTGTATCTGCTATGTTCTCTTACTATTTATTAAATGAATTGCATGCTTTCATCAAGAATTTAATTCAAAACGTTAGGGAACGAGATGGAAGTTAGACATCTTTGTGGCGAAAGTCGATTTTCGTCGAATTTACACCTCAGACAAATCCGTAAATTCCATGTCTAGTCATTACGCAGTAAGCATTAATAACGCGAATGCTTCAAAAATGCCTAAAGGAACTGTTGAAATTATGTAGTGATTCGCTTATACATTTCATGAATCTACAAATTGGCATATCGGATGATTTATTTGCCAATGTAATTGCATTAATGATTTCACAACCGGAAGAAATCCAAGTTGTAAATTGACAACGAACGAAGAGCATGACTCCGTGAGGCGAATTCTACAAATCGGAGCTTATTTTCAGACCAAACTCAGGTTTAACGTCTCAATAACTTTACATGGACAATTCTTTCGGAGTGGTTTTTCCAGTTGCACTTGGCGCTGTCACTGTTGGGTAAAGTGCCAATAGATGTAGTAAATTGAGTCCGGCAATTTGAATGACGACCATAAGATAAGCATGGTTAAAGATGTGAAAAATGTGATAAACTCTCTTCTGAAAGTAAATAAAGATAATTCATTTCTGGTGACACTTATCGGATGTCTATTGAGAAGAGTAAATTCATCCAGTGTTATTGATAGCTGGTGTTAGAGGTTTTAACAGTTTCTGTGATTCAAATCGGTAAAAGACGGAGCGATATTTCTAGAATTTTATATGCACAATTTGTGTTACCGATGTCAATAATTTCAAAAGAGCATTCAGCTTATATTGTATTGATATCATTTCCAACCTGATACCTGGTAGA